TAATTGATTCTAAGAAGTTTTCTCTCTTCTAATCAGTTTGAGCACTGTTAATTCAAATCAACAGTACATGGCAGGTGCAGTGTTAGAGCAGCTAAAGATGGCTGGAGAACCCTAATTTTTGTTCTATCAACAATACAGAAAGCTTATTCCATAGTTTTGTTTTAGTTTCTAATCTTTGTATTCCTCTTCGTAAGTTTATTCCTGTAGACAACATTTCGGTTCTTATAAAATACTTGTCTGTATATTTTATTTTGTGGGAAGTTTGTATGCCAAGCCATTCTGAAGACATGAAAAGTCAAAAAACACTAGGAAAGTTTTTTTTTCTGAAAGTTAACAAGATTTTTTTTTAAATAAACCCCACAGATTTAAACTCCTTTTCTTTTTTCCCCCCTTCCCCCCCCCCCCCCCCCCCCAAAAAAAAAGTTTCCCAGGAAAAAATCTGTTCTTGGATGAGATGTAGCATATGAAATTTCAAGGGCACTGAATAATTTTGTGGAAAGGCGTGGGATTTAGAGGTTTTGGGACCCTAGCTTCAGCTTTAACCCTGGAGCCATTACTTCTGCTTCATAGTTTAAATATCCCTGAAATGTCAGGGTGTTTTTAAATCAGCTGTGTATCCACCCACATGACTACTTGTGATTTCTTGGGAGATAATGTGACAATTACGTAAAGTTTGCATGTTGTCTCAGAACTTATGAACCAAACTTATTTCCTTGGAAGGTTATTGTTGAATCTCTTTGCCTTTAGTGAAGCTAAAGGGTAAGCCTCCTTGCCTTAGCTTCCCCAAAGGCAAAGAGATTCAACAATAACTTCCAAGGAAATGTGTTGCCTTTCCTTTGGAAATCCTGACTTCACTGTAGCTTTAGACAGTAGGGTGACCAGATGCCCTGATTTTATAGGGACAGTCTCAATATTGGGGCTTTGTCTTATATAGGCACCTTACCTCCTACCCCCGTCCGGATTTTTCATGCTTGCTGTCTGGTCACCCTATTAGACAGGGCTATTTCTCACAGCTGTGATCACTGTTTAGTAAGTGGGGGAATTTTCCTCCAGTGTTCTGCGCTCAGGGGTGTGAAAACGCCTCCCCCCCCCCCCCCCCCCCCCTAAGTGCAGCGCCGGAAAGCGCCAGTGTGATCAGAGCCTGCAGCGCTGCGCGCTCGCTCGCAGCACTGCAAGCTATTCCCCTCGGAGAGGTGGAGTACTTACAGCGCTGCGAGAGAGCTCTCGCAGCGCTGGCGGCGCGACTACACTCACGCTTCACAGCGCTGCCGCCGCAGCACTGGGAAGTCCTGAGTGTAGCCAAGGCCTTAGAGTGGCTTAACACTCAGAACAGTAGTGGGAGTGGTGGGTGCTCAGCACCTGTGAAAATCCTGCCTGACTTGTGTTTGAGAGAGACTGATCACCAGCCTGTTGACCTGCTTTACTGATCGCCTTTCAGAAAAACTTCATTTCTCCCCCCAAAAGGAGAGAGGTATAGTATGAATATTCTGTCTGGGAGTGCTACTGTATCATAATTGCAAGGAAATGCATGTTTATAGAGGTAGAAGGGAAGTAGCATTAGACTGAATCTTGCGGGGGGAGAAGGGGAAGGCAGTTGGAATCAAAATTCTCAAGTTTCTGAAAAGCAAGGGTTGGTGAATAATTGACCCCTGCTGATATTTTAAGGATTTGAGAAGTTGTGGGAGCTTGTGAGGCCCCTGCTTTTCTCTAGAAACTCCATCACATGCAGTGAGAGGCCATCTATGTGATTAGACAGCGCCACCTATGGTGAAGGGGCAAGTTATGGATTTTTTTTTAAGATTCTCCATTTAAAACCACCCTTGCATGTAACACATTTCATCTACACTTTTACCATTATATACATCATTGGATGAGGAATTAAGTTTCTTTTATATTACTAACTGAAATGGACAAGGGCATCAAAAACTCCAATAGTGCTCACTGATGTAGTAAAGCAGAGTGCATTAAGATTAATGCTATACACTGTTCTCCAGTAACCAACTGCGTTACGGATGTTACAGGAAATAAAAATACCAGATAAGAAACTCCTCTGACAGGCTGAATTACTTCCTGGTTCTTTGTGGTGCAATCAGGCAGGCGTCAGTTGCGCACACAGGCACCTTTGTGGTACACTATCTTCAAAACTATAAAGTTAAACTGAGTTTGAGTGACTAGGAGGAAAACCACCTTATCTGCCCCAGTGAAGGTTTGGCAGCATAATAAATTAATGCAAATATGCCTGCTGAATCTACATGAAACTTGTTTTTTTTAAAATCACCATTGCTAAACTGCCCCCAATATAAATAGTTAAATCCCTTTAATTTAATCCTCTTTTTAAATAAACAAAAGTAATTTCCATGTGGCGGGGGAAACCAGGTTAGAATCTTCCCACCTTCTTCCACTTAACAGTACATCTAGTTGGGCAGTGACTGCCACATCCACAGCACCAAATCCTCCTCCCTCATTGTAAGGAAGCTTCTCTAATGATGCATCAGAAGGACTCTCAATTCACATGCAGCCATGAGGACAAGTCAGAGCCCGGATGTTGGTTCTTCCCGCCTCCAAGAGTACACACCATGCCAAAGCAGGAGATTTACAAAGGCATGAGTGGGAGTTAGTTAAGCACTCAACTTTCATTTGTCTTTGAAAATCTCCCCTATAAGAGGCAGCATCAACATGAGTTCTATTCGCTCTTGGTGCATAATGCACAATACTAGCAGCAATGGGAGTGAAGAGTTCTGATCTGGTAACATTTGACATCCTCTTCTCAAAGAGGCTGAGCATTATGGAGGATGAGAGGCAGTGGAAAGATCAGGCTACACTGGCTCTTTTGTACAGGTGGTAGGTGTGGTGTTCAGAGAGAATGCAGGGCTGGACCATATTACTCTTGAAGAAGATACCCCAAAAAGAAGCAATGGATAAAGAGATACTCTACCCAGGGTCGGCTCTAGTTTTTTTGCCGCCCCAAGCAAAAAAAAAATCCCTCCCAGAGCGAAGTGCCTCCCCAGGAATGCCGCCATGCTGCCTCTAGAGTTGTGCCGCCCCAAGCGTGTGCTTGGTTTGCTAGTGAGAGAGAGTGTGTGTGTATTAAATTGAATAGCTCAGATATACAAATTTTTTCTAAAGCACAATGTCATCCATATAATGAAGAACATTTTAATGTGTTACAATATTACAGTGTGTCACAGTGGTGACATACTTAAACTTCGGAAAAATTCCAAAAGGGGTCAACTTTAAGATTCCATGTTTTGTAACCTAGATAATTAAATGACACAGTGTACAGGCTAGCAGCTTTACAGCTTACCAAAATCAAACATGTCCCAAAGGAACACAGTTGAAACATTTGCATCCATAAATCTGCTATACAACTGGGTAACTAAAATGGGTAACTAAAGGTCAGTTTAACTCAGTTAAGTTTTTGTTTTCTCATATAAGAAAAATAGCTTCTCTTATTATCATCATCCTTGTGTTTGTCCAGAAAAAAACAAATTCACGTGAGTTCAGGGTTTAAGTCAAAGATAAACCCACTAAATGGAGTTGAACTGCACTTAAGTGCTGAACATGTATCATCATCAGCTTCAGCTGTCTCTACCATGGTCTGTAGGAACCCTGCTAATATTTCTTAACTAACAAAACAGATTTTTAAAGAAACCTACTTTTTATCTTGTGAAGCATAAAATAGGTCCAATCCTGCTCCCACAGAAGCTGATGGGAGTTGTTAACCATTCAGTGAGGACAGGATTGGGCCTAATGGCTATAATTATAAAAGCAGACGTGCAATGACGAAAAGCCAAGGTTATCTTATAGCTGGAATGTCAGACTAATGGGGAAAAAAGGCCACATTAAAAATGTAGTGATGGTGTGTGCCCGATGTCTATGAAGCAATATACTAGATCTAAGGCAGAGCTCCTACAGTGGGAAGTTTGTATAAAGCTCATAGAGAGTGTATGAGCCTTCTGAAGTAACTGCACTTTTTAGGCCAAGATTTTAAAACATGACACGTGATTTGGTGTGTCTGTCTTTGGGTGCCCAACTCATTTTTGGCATGGTGAAACTGTCTCCTTTTCCAGAGCGCAAAGGATAGGCTATTGCATCCTGAGACCACCCCCTTTTGGGAAGGGCTCAAATCTTGCAGTAATATATTCCTTAATTGGGCTGAGCTCTCATTAGCTTCAATGGATAAGATCGTTTGTGAGTAAAAACTGCAGGATTTATCCTCTGCTGAAGTTCTGAATTTGCCAAATAGTTGAACGGAGCACGCAGAAATGAGGACACTGCAGGCCTGCATGCTTTCCTGCGATGGGAACAGAACCTCAGTCTTTCCATTCAGCCTTTGTCATGTCAACAGAGTAACTGAAAGACAATGAGAGCAGCTCTGTGAGAGACTGGGAGAAGTTTGGCCCTCATGGGAGGGAGCCCATGCTAGTGGGAGATATGCTCTGTGGCTTTCTATGGATTGTCGTTTTTGTGTGTGTGTGTGTGTGTGTGTGTGTGTGTGTGTGTGTGTGTTGAAAATCTGAGTTCTGAGGGGAATCCTTTAAAAATGCAAATCTCTTCAAAGGAAGATTGTCCCACATTGTTCTCATGAGCAGGGGGCAAATGATTGCTCTGCTGATGCAATTGGGCTGTCAGGGTTAGGACATTTATGAAGCTTTGTACAGGAAAAATCCACAGATTCGTTGCTCATATCATGTTACTTGCAATGCCACAGCACAGTGGTTTTCAATCTTTTTTCATTTGAAGACCCATGAGTATTTCAAAGGGAGGTGCAGGCCCCTTTGGAAATCTTAAGACATAGTTTGCAGACTCCCAGAGGTCCACGGACCACAGGTTGAAACCAGCTGCAATAGCATCTTTGATTAAAGGCTCTTAAAGTGCTTGTAAAGCATACACTAAGCCTTGCAGCAACTGCTCTGTAAGGTGGGGCAATATTGTTAGCAAGTAAAGAACAGGCAGGTTAACGGCCCCAATTGTGACTGACCCTTCTTTGGATGCACGTTCCTTGTGTGGTCTGCATATAGGTCAGTCACAATTGCAGCACCTGTATGCAGGACCAGGGCCAGCTCCACTTCCAGGGATGGCTGACATCTCACAGGAGATGGGGAGGGAGAAGGGGCAACAGCCCCACAACAGGAAGTAGAGTGGGCCATCCACACCAGGGGGATCCTAAGGATGGTGCAGTGTTCCTGTCCACTAGGGAACTCAGTGAGGATTGTGCCTCAAGGAAGGAATCGCTCTCCGAGGCACAGTCCCTCCCCAGGATCCCTCCATGGGTGGTGCAGCTCCTTACCATCGCCTGCTGGGGCCAGTGGCTGCCTGCCACCATTTGAGTCTAACTGACTTGCCCAAGGCTACACAGTGAGTCACTGGCAGAGCTGGAAACAACCTTGGACGCCTGGCCCCAGCTGGCAAAGTCTCTTGGTTTTTGGTTTTCTTTTGGGGGACTGATGTGAGGAGAGTCTCCTCCACTTCATAAGAGCCTGTGTCTTTGAATTAGTAAAATTAAACTAGCCATATCCTTGAGATCAGGGTACAAGAACATAACTCGATCCACTTCATCGTATGGGAAGACCGAGCAGAGCGCGCTGCGGATGTGCGCTCGCTCTCCAGCAAGTGGTTCTGGAGCATGATTCGGGAGATACTCGCTATGAGAAGTGGGTGAGTAGTTGAAGGAGCCGGGCCCCTTGTGGGGATCTAACAAAAATGGCTGAATGGGAGGCTGATTCTGCAAATGCCTTTGGTATTGTCCATCTTCACGTTTGCTGTAGGGAAATGGGCCATTCGGAGGAGACCTGACAGAGCGTGTGACTTGCTGTTGGGCCTGCAGGCCTTGTGTGGACTGAGATCTGTCCACAATGTATTGGATTCTCTGACTCTGCACTGCTAACATTTGCACATTGCCCCAGTGCTCAGGTCTAGAGCGAGCTGGGTGCCTACAAAGATGAGAAGGCAGCTCGCACTGTTGTAAGCACATGCAGTCCAAACTATGGTTGTGATGAGTTGCATATAGATTGTGACAGTGATTGTGTCTAAGATTACAGCATTGATGGGTACTGTCCTTTGCATCCCCTCTCTCAGAGGTGTCTGCCGGCCTATTTGCACTATATATCTTGTCCCTGAGGGATAATGCAGAGAGCTGCTTTTCCATGAGCCTTTGCTCTCTCTGTAGGTCTTGCTGTAATACATTTTGTTCGGGTTCCAGCTTACACAAGGGCCTGTCTCCCCAGGCTCTAGCTGAATGCTCAGTGTAGGTCCTTTCCTGTTGCGTAGAATGGAACCAATCCGTTGCAAAGCTCTGAGTGGAGCTGCTGCTGCCGCCTGTAGCACCACTGGATGCCTGCAGCCTTTCTATGCAAGCGCCGTGGGATGCATTCCCTCCTTGGGTTGTAGTTGGGGCAGCCTTCAACTTTTCTTCCTCTGTCCCCAAGCTTTGAGACGAGGCCTTTGTTTTGGCTCGGAGCTCATCAGCCACTGACAGCTGAGCTTGATACTGTCGTTCGGGGTGGAAAAATTTGCACTTGCTGCCATATGTGCATTTTTTGCCTGAAAGAAAACAAAACAATGAGCTGAGAGGTAGGAGTGGGGCATTAAAGTATCTATTTTAGGTACTTAGAGGGCACCCCTCACCATAGTATTTGAGCACCTCACAGTCTTTAATGTATTTATCCTCAACACTGCTGTGAGATAGGGGAAGTGCAATTTGCTATTACTAAGGATACCAGAGGTGCCAACTTTCCACTTTCGCCGGGAGTGCTCGACCCATGCTCCACCCCCAGCCCTGCTCCCACTCCACCCTTTCCCCAAGACCCCACCCCCTTCTTCCCACCCCCTGCCCTGAGCGTGCTGTGCCCCCTCCTCCCCAGCGCCTCCTGCATGCTGCTGAACAGCTGATTGCGGCGGGCAGGAGGCACTGGGGGGAGGGGGAGAACCTGATCAGTGGGGCTGCTGGTGGGTGCTGAGCACCCACTATTTTTTTCCTGAGGGTGCTCCAACCCCAGAGCACCCATGGAAACAGGGCCTAGGAAGAATACATTTTAGTCACAGAGGTCAGCAAAGTCACAGCATCTGTGACTTTACTAGACCTCCGTGACCTTGCTTCAACAGCGGGGGGCGGAGTGGGGGCTGCGTGCCCTTGACCTGCAGCTGCGGCAAGGAGCTCCAGAAGAAAAACAGGCTGGCATCACTGTGTCAAGTTAAAGAAAACCTACCATAAGGACAGGACTGCCATCTAGTAAAAGGAAGCACTGGCTTTTTGCTGAGGAAATTGTAAAGAGTAGGTCCATGACGGCCTAGCGGGTCATCAGGAGGCATAAACCTGAAACCCAAAAAGAGCATTAGTCACTCAATAGACATCTCTTTGTGAAGTGCTGCATTTCACTTACATTCTACTTTGGGGTCTTTATTTTTTTAATCATTTATTGTGCACAGTTATGACACAAAAGCCTTGCAACATTTACACAATCCCTATCAAAAGGAGGAGGGATGCACTAAAAATTTGCACTCTTTTGCATCTTAGATCTCTGAGCTGCAAACACACTCTTTCTGGGAGGGAAATAGTGCTCTTTAGCTGACCAGCCCTACAGGTACAGTACTGCAAGTTCATAGAGCTCCTCCCCTTGCCAGAGGTTGTAGTGCTGGAATCTCAAGCTGTGGAGAGAGAGGGTTGGCATTAAGTTGGCCAGGCAATGGCTTTGAATTTTGCAGTATCAGGACCTGTATGATACTGTTGAAGCAACAGAAAGTGACATGTTGATGTCTGCCCAAACTCCCTGTGTGCACCTATTTTCAGTGTGCTCCTCCATGTTCGCAGCACTATGATCTGTGTTTGGCCACCCCAACTCTACAATATATACATATTTTAAAATAGTAGGAGTTGGCAGACTCAAATCCACCAGTGAAATCAGAGTGAAGGCTGATGCCTCATCACTCTGCCATTTACTTCATCATCCTGTGTAACACACATGCACTGCATACAAGAACACATGGATTTTTAAGACCTAGCACTAAGCCTTGGTTGAATACCAGACCTACCTATGAGCCTCTGCATGCCGTGATATTGTGTTATGTAAGTCCTAGAAGCATGGCGAGTTGGAGTACTAATTCCCCTGCCCATCATCTGAATATGATGTTTTAGGAAGAGCCATCACAGCAGGAATGTCAATAACAATTAGCACTTTTATAGTCATAAACAAATTCATCCCCTCAACACCCCTGTGAGGGACTAGCTGGCTGGTGAAACAGAGTGAGAGAAGCTAACTGACCGGTTTAGGCTATAGAAGTTGTCAGAGTCAGCAAGTGGATTAGAAACTGAGCAGCTCCTGTCTCCTCATCCTTTGTTCAGAGCACTAGCCCACACAGCTCTCAACAAATGCTGATTGGTCATTGCTCTTTCTGGTCTGTTGGTGGCCACAGTTACGTGAGATAGCAACAAATGGTTGGTGGGGTGGGGGCACATGAATGAGCGTGGACATTTAATTCCCAATCTCTGGGTGTAACGGAACCAGCAGCTGAGATCTGAAGCGTCTCTTGGAGAATTTCACATAAGGACAGACCTGCTCATCTCTAAGTGTGCTTGACAAAAATAGCTAGACATATTTTAATTTTTTTTAAGGGAAGGTTGTGAAAATGTTCTGACAGCCTTGTGAATGGGAAAGGAAGACAAGGGAAAAGGAGAAATGTTATGTAAATGTTTGATACCTATTAGTAACAAGGGAAGTAACCTGGCTGTTAGAGAGAGAACAGATCTGACCTTTGAGTCCCATTATGCTGATAAGTAAGGGCATTAAGCAACCATTACCTTAAATGCATTGCCAAGTATTTTAGTGCAGTTTTGGGTGGCTGAGAACTACGAGCACTCTGATCTATCAAAGGTAAAATCATTTGAGCGTACCACATCTCGAGAGGCTTGTTCGCTAGGCCATCAGTGTGAATGAAAACGTGGTGTCAGTGCACATTGACCAGCTAAATAAAGGCCTGGACCAGTTGACTGAGTAACAAACTTTTCAGGGCCAGAGAAAGACATACAAAATTGGGAATGATCTACACACCACTCAGATTCATATGATATCTATGATGAATGCAAAACTGTCAGTAGCATCCTCCAATGAGAACAGTCATGTGGGAGACAAGGATCTAATTGCAGATCCTGGCCTCTCTCTGCTGTAGCTAGAAGGATGATTACTGTACAGGAGGATTTGAAAATGGAGGGGAAAGAATTACTCACAAAGGGAGGGGATAGTTTAACTCACTCCTAGCCCAGCAGGGATATTAGACATAGTGCCAAGCACCCAAATGCCTCTCTGTTGCCAGATATCAATTTCATTGTATCTCTGTCCAAAATAAATGTTATAGTGCTGTGACAGTGGGAGACAGGCCTATCTTCATCTCATATCTCTTATTCTCTGCATTAGCAGGGGTCTAGGAGCAACATGGGTCCTAGATCACCTTTCAGTCACCCTGATATAGACAAGTTCCTCGAGGAGTTACACAGGACCGTTGAGACCAGAGGTGGGGAAGAATATACTAAAGACAGGACCCCCCAGCAGACTCTTAAAAATACACCTGCTCCCTTTGACATCAACGTTGCACTTATGGCTGGGTTGAATTTGGCCCACAGCATTCAAGTATTTAAACCAAAGTAAAGACTTGTCCCCTACTTGTCACTGACAAAGGAGTACATGAGTAGCCGTTGCTCGATGAACCACTTCCACTCAGGATTCTCACTCTGGAGGTCCCGGTAGTTGTCATTGGAAACAATCACCCCATCTTTCTCATGGGCCACTTTAATTATATAGCGATCATCATAGCAGACCACCCGCCTGCCTTTCACCTTGCGGGATGGAGTGTACACGAGAATGGTTTGCTTTGCAAGCTCATCAAGAATGTGCTGATCTGAAAACAAAACCAAGAGAGAAGAAAATTAGTGATTAGCACCTATCAAGCACGTGTTGGAGTCCTTTAAGAATCTAAAAACACCTTAAAAATAATAAGGGTTTTTAGGTACCTAAATACAGACTCAGGAGACTCAGTGAAAGGGTGTGAATTTTTTTTTTTCCAGGGGCACTGAACCATTGGCATCAGTGAGAGCTGATGAGAACTCAACAAACTTATAAATTAGGTAACTTATGTAGGTGTTTAAATATGGACTCAGGAGCCTAGCCTTAGAGGTCTATTTTTTTTTAAATCTTGGTCTTAAAAGACAGTTAGGATGTGATCTTGAGCTGTGCTGAGCACCTACAACTCCCACCGACTGCAGCGGGATCTAACGGCGCTCCCCAAATCATCCCATGTGAGAACCTGCCATTGAACAAGCCTCTTTGGAAGGTAGCCAATTTACATACCTGAGACTGTGGCTACTGAATTACAAACAACAGAAAACGTCTGGGTGGTTCAAAATCTGTTCTTAACAGATAACAGGCTACATGGCTTATTTTCAGTCATTCCCGCTGTTGGCTCTGTAAACATTAGGGCTATGCACACGATTTCACCTGTAACAGCAATTTTATTTCTTTTCGCTCTTCCAAGTGGGTCTTACTCCTTATCTAGAAGCAGCAGCACAATAGTAAGCTCAGTGTTTCTGCTGATTCATTTTTGTACACTCATTTCTTCTCTGCTCTCTGCCATTGGCTTTGGCTGACATGTTTTTTATATTTTACACCGTAAGTGCTATATTGGTAATGACATAACAGAAAATGGTTGTGGATTGGCTGCTGTTTGTGTGTTGCAACTAACTGCTGCTGGAGAAATGTCACCCTCCAGTAATACAGCTGACAGCTGTACCACAGATTCATTCTCCTTTAGCTCAACTGACAGAGGTCTGTGCTTTTGAAGTAAAAGATTCTGATTTCTGTCACGCAAAGTATATATGCGGCCACAGATTCATCACTGAAGCACCCTGAAAGGTGTGCCTTGCTGTCTGCTTCCATTATGCTGCTTTCTCTCCAGGAAAGAATTGCATCAGATTCCTCAAGTCCTGAATGCCTACCCTTTACATGACATGATAGAGGTACAGCGTTGCTACAGTTAAGGTTAATTTATAATATATTTCAGATTATTCCTGGAACACCCTGTCTACCTGTAATGGGGCTGTCAAATCGTGGTGCTTCCTTTCTCCACGATGGGACAAAGACCTTGATGTCTTTGTGGCCTCTCTCCCTGAACCAGTCCACTGCCAGCTGAATCCCCCGGCATGAGAACACTTCTTTGTTCCCATGGCTGCAACCAGAAAAGAGAGAGAGAAATAGGTTAAGATTCAGGAAGAGATTCATGCAGCTTTCGGAAGCTGAATTAGTAATACAAAGTAATCACACCATCAGCACTAGCACCTCTTAATGATAGCCATGGAAGCCACCTTTACATATTGAGCAGAGAGCCCCAGCTGGAAACCTTCAAATACATCTTCCAATGGAACAAGTGACTTTTTATTTGCACCAGAACTGGGATGTTTTCAAGAACAAGTGCTCCTGCACACTAGACTTCAAGGGCAGACGTAATTGGGGAGATACTCACTCACTCACTCACTCACTCTCTCTCTCTCTCTCTCTCTCTCTCTCTCTCTCCTCCACACTGACTATCTCAGCCTCCATGTAGAGATGGATCTGGGATATAAAGGTTGGATTCACTTTAGTCCACGTTGGGCTGTTCTGGACTCCCCTTACTGTCTAGGCTGGTGGTCTGAACAGAAAGTGCTCATGGTGGGAGCTGAATCACAAAGCGGCAATTTTCTCCTCAGAAATAAAACTTCTTAGGCCCTATTCTCTTGCAGTGCTATGTTAAGATGGCGGCCAGGGTGCCTGCAGGTCACTCTTCTCCAGCTGACTCTTTGAGACACATGACTGGAAAGCCCCCCCCCCATGGTGATCCCAGCAGATAGCATGTATAGGTGCTCCCTGCCAATGACTCCCCAGGAGGGGACAGGACCACCGTATGGGGATGGGAAAATAGGAGACCCTGTGCCCTAGACCACCTTAATCTGGTCCAGGTTGTTGGATTTTTGCCTGTCCAGGCCAGAGGCAATGGGAAAACCTAGGATCTCTGTTGTAGCAAACCCAGTTATGGAAATCAGCTAAAATTCAGCATCAATCAGGATAGCCTAGGGAAATAATGTCTGAGAGAGCCTGTAAGGGACTATAGTCTTGTTCAATTTCTTTACCCTGCCCCATAAAGTTCTTGTTGTTTGTCATTATGGCTTGTCTAAATTTGATTACAAACAGTACATTGAGGAAAGTAATTTCGTTGCTCTTAACCATCGCTGCACAAGGAAATAAGTGTAGTGGTTTCAGATATAGTAATCATCACACACAGATTGAACCCTACTCCACGATCCTGAAATGGAAAAACATACCCACACCCACGGTATCTACAGCAGCCTCACTTGTGTACTTTGAACTCTCTAGATCATATCTCCACAATCATACTAGTGCTTTCAACATTGCAGAATACACACATTAATTATTAGTCTGTCATTATAGCTCTGCATCTGCACCCATCTGTAGTGACAGAATAGATAGGTTAGAAATGTTTATATAATTACTGTCACAGATACCGAGTACATTTATCATCTGAACTAACAAAGGCATGGAAAGTATCATTTTATGCTGAATCATAAGTGCAGTAGTGAAATGATTAATTATCCCAAAATGATCAAATGGAATTTTATGGAATGGAATTTAGGGGAGCCACCCAGCTGCCTTCGAAGGAGCTCTGGTTATATACCTCTAATACCAGGTGCCTACTTCCCCATTCACTTACACCACGGTTATGGCCATGTACCGCCACTGATTTTAACAGTCACGCTGGATTTACCAATGCAGATGCAAAGAGAATCAGACCCCAGGAGTTTGTGTTTGGCACAGCGAGTATAAAAATAATACTTAGCCACCTTTGTAAAGTGCTTGTGGCTCTATGGATGAAAAGGTCTAAGGATTAGTATTGGATAAGCAGTGATGTTGTTATAGTGAAACAAAACAAAATAGAGCCAGAAGTCAGGGCTGAACTGCCCAGAATGCCTCCCTCCACCTGGCAGTTGAATATTGCTAGACACACCTGTGCATACTAAACTACATAACCATTTTTTCATTTTAATAGGCTTGCAGCTGGTAGGATTCTGGCAGTTCCCTTTTCAAGTGGGCAGGGATATGTTTGTTGTTTTAACAACCCTGCCAGCAGGAGCTCTGCTGTAGATCTCCTCTCCCCAGGCAGTCTAGCTCATGGTTAATGTAGTTTGTGACTCTATTAGAGACAGGGATGCAAACTGTTTTTCAACCATCCTACTCAAGTTTGGGAGATGAGACAAAGAAATGTAATCTCCCCTCCCCCCCCATATAGAGATGGCTTGATTTCAGTAAAGTGCCCTATCCACTAGACCACACAATCTTTCTGTACTATGTACCAATGAAGTTTGTCACCAACATGCTAGGATGTCAAAGCCCCTTTTCCAGCATCACTGGGAGTGTTTTAGCTAAAAGCACCTTCTAGGGCCATCCAGTGATCTAATTAATTTTCACAGATTCTAAGGCCAGAAGGGACCACTGGGATCATTTAGACCAGTGGTTCTCAACCTTTCCAGACTACAGTACCCCTTTCAGGAGTCTGATTTGTCTTGCGTTACACCTCACTTAAAAACTACTTGCTTACAAAATCAGACATAAAAATACAAAGTGTCACAGCACACTCTTACTGAAACATTGCTTACTTTCTCATTTTAATTTATAAAATAAATCAATTGGAATATAAATATTGTACTTACATTTCAGTGTAAAGTATTTAAAGCAGTATAAACAAGTTATTGGCTGTATGAAATTTTAGTACTGACTTTGCTAGTGCTTTTTCTGTAGCCTGTGTAAAATTAGGCAGATACTTAGATGAGTGGATGTACCCCCTGGAAGACCTTTGCGTATCCCTGGTTGAGAACTGACCTCCTGTGTAATACAAACCAAACTTCCTGAATTGAATCCCATTTGAACTAGAGCATACTTTTTAGAAACACATCCAATCTTGATTTAGAAATTGCTATTGATGGAGATTCCGCCACAGCCCTCGGTAAAATGGCTAATTACCCTCTAAAAAAAATTTGCATCTTATTTCTAGTCTGAATTTGTCTAGCTTCAACTTCCAGCCATTGGATTTTTGTTATACCATTGTTAGATTGAAGAGCCTTCAACAGCCTTTGTCATACAGTGAGGTTTGGTCTCCTGGGGAGGCTCACATTGCTTAAGCAATCCCAGGGACAATTCTGGGATGGAGGAATAAAGCATCCCTTTTGTTTTGCATAAGTCTTTTTAAAATGCCCCCTTCTCCCCAGTGACTCTCAAGTGCTGACTATGAAATACTCAACATACATTAATCCCAAAACAGAAACAGAAATGCTGTTCTCCACTTGGGCAACCACATTTCCAGAATGTAGCCTTTTGCCAGTTTCTTCCACGTGTTATAACTTGCCTGTGTCTTCTCTCCCCCCCCCCCTCCATCCCCAACATTCTTACAATAGGGAGTCAATGGGTATTTCTTTCCTGTGTTGAGAGGAGCAGCTGTCCTGCTTGAGTCTGGGGTAGTCATGAAATACAGACTCTCCTGCACTAGAATTAGAAGAAAGTGAGAACCTATGGCACCCATTACACTTCACACAGGCCACAATGTTAAACTCCATTTATCTGCAATACAGAAAGGCTTTCCCTAAAGGAAAGCCGCTCCTGCCATCTCTCTCCTTGTTCAATGTGAAATTACATTCTTGGGAAGGCAGTAACTTTCTCAGTTATTCCAACTAGTTTTTACTCTTATCACAAACTTCCTGGAGATATCCCCAAAGCCAGAGAGTGATGGTTGGTTGGGAGGAGCTGTAAAGTTTTGGTCTTGTAATGGAGGCAATTAAAAAGAAGCAGAAAGAAAGAGAACTTATTAGACATGAAAACGTGGAAATTGAAAACAACTTACAGTTCCTTTATGTGAAAGGTTTAGGAATGCCAAGGCAGGATGCCAGCCATGTAATAACCCAATAGCCTGATCTATTGCATCTCATTGTCTTGTCTTGCTGTAATTCCTTCCTCTACAGAAATACACTGGAGACTTCCTTTGAAATGGCTGGAGCATGGATGGCTTATTGGAAATCCATTTTGGGTATATGGCCTAAAAGCTCAAAATAGAAGCAACATGGCAGCCAAAACCATCTACTGCACCTACAGCCATAGCATCACGGGTTTGAACATGCCCTATCTGGTGATCTCTGAAGTAAAAGATGATGCACACAATAGACCATGGAGAGCTCTGAATTATAGAGCTGCGGTTTAATTCCATCATGGGGTCCTGCAAAGAAGGATGGTCTTGTGGTTTGCAGGTGGGCCTATGCACACCTGTGTTGTAACCCAGCTGTGATAGTGACGCCTTGTGTCACAACTGAGCTGATAAACATAGTCCATATTCCTATAAACCACTAATCAAAACCAAAACACACAAGCCAGGGACGTTTTGGGGTTGTGCTTGCAAAACCAAAATGATGATGAGTGAGGTTTTGGCAAAACCAAAAACCAAAATCCACATTTCCCCATTTTAACTGCTCTCTGCTTCTCAGGGCAGTTAAGACTCTTCACCGAGTCATGGTCACCTGATTTACAATTCAGACAAAATAGCAAAAACAGTACAGGAAGTAACTAATACAAGATTCAATCACCTGAAATACTGTGCTGCTGCTTATCTGGGCTTATACAAATGAATCTGATTTTTAAGTACAGTATTACAGTAAACACTTTAATTACTTTATCTGGTCATCCAGCTTGTCCTGCTAATGCCTCAGCATATTGATTTAGATCTCCTGGATACTTGTGTGTAGAGGTAGCAAGACCTCACTTAGGAATTAAAGTGAAGAGAAGGCTGGTGAAACATATTGCTACAGACAGTAGAGACTAAGAGTTAGTTTCAAAATGGTGGTCAGAGGTGATAATTGTTTTAAAAATCAGTGCTTGATACTGACAGAGAGCAGGTCCATGATATAAGCTACAGCCCCATGAACAGAGATATGAGATATCGCTCCCCAAGCATCTTGTGTGCTTCTTACATAAAGGAGAGCACAACTTCAGGCTGGATTCAAATACAAAACTTACTGAGAAATGGAGATCCCCTGTAGGTATCAAGATGGAAAGACACGTACCTCATAGCAATGTTGCTGCCATCGATCACGATAGGTCTCAAGTGACTGGAAGAATCGCTTGCCACCTCTTCTGGCTGCTTGGGCACTGCCGGACTGCTACACGACCCACGGGGGACAAGTTTTGGGAGAGGATGCTGGGCCTGCCTCTCCTGAGCCACAGGCCTGCTACCTACCCGAATCAACTCTTTCAGCACATCATCCTCCAGGGCCCCTTGGCCCAGATTTTCCAGCACTTTGCAGATGTCCTGTTTGCCATACCCCAGCTTGCAGAAAAACTCTATCTTGCCCGGGTGCGCTTCCATCTGTGCAGCAGGTACTTCCTCTGGGCCTGGGCGGTTACCAGTCTGCAGGGTGTGAACCTGCCAGGGCCAGTCTCAGCAGGCTTCTCTGTTCCTTTTACTTAATGCTTTTGTTCTCTCGGCTGCTTTTAGCTGGCATCAGCTTTAGAGGGGGGGAAAGATTTTAAATAATAGTTAAATGTGGTAGCCAAGGAACTGCTGCCTCTCTCACACACGTTCAGTATACAGTGACACCTGTACAAGAGGCCAGTCTTATTAGGTCCCTTCTGGCTTAATAGGGTGCCCCAGCTTTTCCTCAGGCACAATGGACATTCTTCTGCTCCATTCTGATTAGAAAAGCACCGCTGTAGAGCATCCAGTTTTTGTTAGCTTCTTGGGGAGAGTGGTTGAAGATAGGCATCACACTAGTCTCATCTCACAGGAAATCACTTAGAATAAAACATAACTGGGGATTTTCAATTTGCTCAGTGTGGTTAATGAAGCACAGATAACATCTTTCTGATTTCAATGGAGAGATCTCAGATGTCATAGCAACTCAACAAATATGGCAAACTTCATCTAGTGGCAATGAGGGACTGTATTATTTGCAGCATTACTTGGAAATTTGAAAACATATTAGCCCTCATGAAAAATTCTGATCTTGTGAAACTGTTCAGGTGAAATCACTCAGATGTTCCGCTGATGCATGACTTACCCTGTTGTTTTCTTAATACTAGCTTCTCCGTCAGGGAGGTTTTAACTTGAACAAAAAGAGTTCACCCATACAAAGGTGTAGCCTTGAGCCTAAACTTATTTGAGCAGTTTTAATTTTAATTGGATTCATTGTTGAGAGGCTGTGGAGAGAGGGCCAGACTCAGAAGTGAGTATGCCTGAGTGTAAGCTAGGGGAACATAAGTTTCTCCGGCCTTCGCTAGGAATGTTGTACTGGGTCTTGCCCTGGCATTTTGCTGAGAGCCAGCTGCCACAGCAGCTCCATGATAGAAGCACTAGTTTTAGATTGGCTGCTGGCATTTTAACCCAACCTCAGCTCTGCAGGAGTGAAGGCTGAAGTTTCCTTCCAGAGAACCTGAGGTACTTTACAACAGGAGGCTCTCCTGGGGGCAAAAGTGGATGGTAGTTAACTCAGAGCTTCAATGAATCAGGGGTCACCTGTAATACCATCTTTGTCTCTCAGCACTGGGCTTTTCAAAAGCCAAGTTACCTTCCCTGACAAGTTTGCAGTTTAAAATATGGTCATTAGATAACACAATGACCAAAGACAAAAGGCCAAACTGGGTAGGGAACGGAGAGAAAAGAGTAACCAGTGCTGGTGTGCTGAGACCACTGGCTCTGATGCTGATGAGTCCTGTGTCATTGATTTCTTGTACACCCCAGCTGTATGTATCCTACTGTTCTCTCTCATCTTAGACTCGTATTGTAAACTGTTTGTGGCAGGGGCCAACTATTTTTTTCTGTGTTTGTACAGCACCTAGCACAGTGGTGTCCCGGTCCATGCCTAGTGCTCCTAGGCGCAATGATACTATAAATAATTATAGAAGAGTAGTACCCCTTGGGGAGCATGTATGTGTACCCCACCCTCACAGTGCTAATCCCAGATACAGCCTCATGCGTTTGCTGCAGGCTTTGCGTTAAGGAGCCAGGCTCCTTATCCCAGGCCATGGAGACTCTTGCTTTTAGATCCATGGGTGCTGGGCTCAATCCCCACAGCAGCCACTCCAGCCAGGCCATTACAACACACTTTGTGGCCTGAGCAGGGATTGGAGCTGCTGTGGCTCTCTGGAACTTGGGCTAAGCTTCCCTGGCCAGACAACATCTGTAACACACACACGTATGCACCATGGCTCTAGGCTCTGCCTAGTGGCCCAGCCACATACAGCGGTTTGGAGTCTGCTAGCCCCTGTGAGCTGTGCAACCTGGATCTTTTAGCTCAGGCACAAGCGGAGAGATTTAGGCTTTTAGGTTTCAAGCCCCAGCGGATTACATTTTGGTGTGGGAAAGCAGAGCATGCAAATTGCCTTATTGAATAGATTGTGTGTGTCTCCTCCCTGCCCGCTTTTAAATGAGTAGGAGAAGCAGAATTGGATGGGTCCAGGGGCACATTAATGGTGAAATTATTAAAAATACATTTCTAAGGTAACTTTCACTGAATGTCCTCTCTGAACTGATCTGTAAGGCCACTAGCTTCTCCTTCATGCTCCCCTCCAGACTCACTTCTTCTGCAACATCTCCACTAGCTGACTAACAAGGTATGGGCTGTGGGGCAACTGGGTATAGTCAAGGGGTAGAGACTTAAAACAGACAATGGGCCCAACCCTCAGCTCCTGTAAACAGGGTAGTTCCCCTGAAGCCAATGAGCTACCACAATTTACACCAGCCAAGGCTCTGTCCCACAGTCACTTGTCTTCTATGCCCCTGATCCTGCAAAGAGACCCTCACAGAAGGATACTTGTGCTAGAGGTGTGAATGGGGCTCTGTGTAGCTTGTCTCGTGCCCAGAGGTTGGTTAAATAAAAGGTTTTGGAGCCTGAGGGTTGTTAGTAGCTGGCATTAAGCCAGAGCATCAGTCAGTCTCCTGTAACCTCCATGCTGCAGGGCCAGGCGTGTGTGGACAGCTTTACGCCAGCTTAGCCCTCCTCGCCAGCCCCCACCTGTGCTGGCTGCTGCTGAAAAAGTAGCTGTACAGCTCTTGAAACGTACCAGCTACCACTAATTTGACCCTTACCTGTGGACATTTCTCTGCAGGAAATTTTAACAACTAGTCTAAGAAGATAAAAATACTGATCACGAAAGAAACAGCCTCACAGAGTGGTTGGCGGGAGGCTAAACCATTTGGTTGTGCTGAAGGATTGTGTGGGTGAAAACTCGACTTTCTCTTCGACCACCCTCTGCCCTCCTGTGTTGGCTGAAATGAATAAAAGCGAAGAGTCGTACTCACAGAGAGCTCTGTGACTTGGCCGATACTATGCTTTGAGTCACTGGCTGCCTTGTCCCACGGCTAAAGCACCAGGCTGGAGTCTGAGCAATGCTGTTCCCCACAAGGACGTCAGCCCTTTGTTTAGAGGCTTGTTATAACTCTGATGTCAACTGAACGCAAACAAGTGCAGCAAGCAGGCTACGCCCCTTTCATGTGATTGTTTTACTTCCTCAGTTGGTTGGCTATCATTGAACTACAAGTCCTTAGACTTTCATTTGTTTTGCAAAAGAGGAGGAGGAAACTAAAGGTTTGAATGAGTCACCCAGGCAAAGTTTAGCCATTTGTCACACATGGAGAACCCCAACAGCACTCAGCTAGCAAGAAAAAGAAAAGTACGTTCAGCTAAATTCTCAAAGTGGATGTTTACGAGGTAGTGTGTTTTATCTGCCTGACATGGGGGGAGGGGAGAAAGTAAAGAATGATTTGTCCACCACACTGTCTCCCAAATTCCCCATTTTGTTTCAGTTCCTAATGACCCACATCCTGCAAGTCCTTATCCAGGTGTGTCAGTGGTGTAGAGGAGCTGCTCAGCAGGACTACGATAAAATAGTTGTTAAAAAAGGCAATTCACTAGGCCATCACAGATAAACACAGGGCTCTTTACTGAAGGATTCCTGAACTCTCACATTCATGTAGACACACTACGCTCTCCAACCCTGTGGTGGGAGCTGCCTTCCCCCTATAAACGTGGAGTTCTTTCATCTCACTCCGAACGCTACCATAACCAAACCACTGTGCCTGAAACTTCACTGGCAGGGACCTAGCCTAGGGGAGATATTGGCAGGGATGGTTGGTAGCTATGAGGATCCCAACAATTCAGATGGATTGAATCTCTGAAGCACTGAAGTTGCTCCCGTGGGAGCTGTGGGGGCAAACAACAATTAAGAAGGAAGCCTGCTCTGTCATTGTCACACAATAAGGTCTCAACCCTAGCCTGCATTTTATGGCCAGTGTGGATATTTATTTTATTTATAAAACTTCAACTTTAACTGACCCAGGCCCACCATGTTGTGCACACAGCCATGTGACCCTATGCTATTAGCCTGCATGCTCCCTTCTCAAGGCCGTCCTAGTTGTTCATTACACAAAGGTGCTATACAGCTAGTCTTAAATGAGCTTGTGGGTCTGTCTCCTCTTTGTATGTACAGCACCTAGCAGAACAGGGCGCAAGCCTGCTAGGCATCTTTTGGCACAGCCATAATATGAAATCAGTAATTGCCTTGCCTTTCTGTTACTGTAAAACCCAGAAACTCATTCCAGTACCTGGTGACTGCAGATTTTTTTTTTAAAGAATGATAAAAACTCTTACTGTGATGAAGTAATAGTGAAACAGTGCCTGGGTTGTTTTTTTTTGAAAAGCGTTTCTGACTATACATAGCTGCAGCACAATCTGTGCCTTATACCGCACAGTGCAATAGTGGAAAGGGATTTTTCCCCCTCATGTTTTTGCAATTCTAAACTTTCAAAACACCAGCTATTGTCCCATGACAAGCCCACCCGTTAGAAGTGTAACTGTAATTAAAAAACGGACTGCGACATTAGTTATCACTCATGATGGCATCAGGCCATTTTCTCATTCATTGTAACAGTACAGCAAAGACTGCGATATTAGCTCATAGTGTTGCTATTGCCCGTTCCATCCCCAGTACCGCAGAAGTAACAATGAACCTTAGCTTATTTAGCTAAAGCATTGCATTTCTTTGACCAAAATTTCTTTGCTGGAACTTTCTCATAGAGACAAGGACTATTAGACATTCCCCTGTTGAGGCTGATGGTTTTTGGATTTGGGAATTTACTGTGTTGTGAAACAGCCAATATCTTCCCCCAGAAGAATGTTTTACCAGCCTGAACCCAAAGTAGCTCATGTTTGACACTGCTATTGGGTAGCTGACAGATTTTTATGTGACTTCCTCAATTGTACCTATGGTCTTAGAGGCCTGTGTACATTCTTGGTGTAGATTCCTCGAGTGAAATGCAGGCCCCACTGAAGTCAGTGGTAAAATTACCATCAATTCATATGGGGATGGAAT